AACTTGGGCCAGTGAAGCAACGTCCTCCACAACTAGACTGAAGAACAAAACAACAGCAACTTGTCTGTTCCCCTTCCCCCAATTCCCCAATAAAAATCTTTAAAAAACAATAATAATAAAATTTTCACCTAGCAATAGATATAGTAATTAATCCCGTACAGCATAGCGTAAATCGGCTTCCCAACACCAATGGCAGCTCTTTCAAAGCAACTTGTGTAATCCTTTTGGAAGCCCCCCTTTTTCTGTCTTTATAAACTCTGTCCCTTTCTTTCCCCATCAGAACACAGTTGGGTTTCTACCCAAATATGTGTCTCCTGGATTTGCAATTCATAAAAAGACCCCCCAAATGAAGCTTTGTTTGCCTATAGTTGTTGTTGTTGTTTTTTTTAGCTGAGTCATCCTGCCACCTGTTGGCAGCTCAGTGGCTGCTCAGCTCAGGCAGGGACTCGAACCCCTGTTGCTCAGAGCTCAAACTCTTGAGCAAGCTCTTAACCAACCGAGCCATTCGGCCGACCCTTGCCTATAGTTCTTAATTGAGAATGCCCACTACTATTCTTTCTGTTCCAGAAACCTAAGAAGGTCTTTTCTGCACACAGTCAGTCTCTCTACCTGGAATATCCTTCCTCTTAGTTTCCCTACTCCTTTTTATTTTTTTAAAATTTTATTGGGGAACAGTCATGGTCACATTGGTTACACATTGCTTTCATGCTACAATGGCATAGTTGACTCTTTTAAGGAGGGCGCAGCTCACAGTGGCCCATGTGGGGATCGAACCAGCAACCTTGGTGTTATCAACACCTGCTCTAACCAACTGAGCTAACCGGTCACCCCTAGTTTCTCTACTCCTTATCTTTTAGGTCTTCCCCTAAATCTCACCATCTCACAAGCATTTTCCCTGATGAAGCACACTCTCTAAAGTAAGCCTCCTTCTTTCATTCCCCGTCACTTCCTTATCGGTATCACACTCTGTATTATGTCTATTTATGTGTGTTCTGTCTCCCACTACAGTGACACCCTCCAGAGCAGTGTGTTAGCCTTTTTCACTGCTGTCCCAAGCACGTGGCTCAGTACCTGCACATTACACATACTTCATGTATACTTGCTGAATGAATGAGTGGTGAAGTCCCATTAATTCTTTAAAAGCTAGGCCTTCCCTCTTTCACCATTGGCATTCACTCTTTTATTGTCTTTTTGTTCCTTTTGTTATGGGAATTACACCCTATTTCTGCTAGATTTTGAGTTCCAACAGGGAAGCAGCAAAGCTGTCTTGTGCCACTTTGTAGTCTCATAATATCTGGAATATTATAGGTACTCAATAAATCTATGGTTCTTAAACTTTAATGTGTATGCCTATCCCCACAGATTTTGCCCCAGTAAGTGCGAAGCGAGACTCGGTAAGTGTGTAGTGATTCACTTATAAAATAAGCAACCCAGTTTATTCTCATGAGGTGGATCTTATATACCACACTTTGAGAAAAAACAGTGTTAGGGATTGTCAGTATCGATGGTGACTCCTCTATGCTAGACTTTAGTTCAAAACAAGCAATGAGGCTGAAATTTCAACACTTCGAGAAATCTGAAGAGCAAAGGTTATTGCCTCCCTTTTCTCCCCACAATGTATTATTCCACCACTTTTTGGATATCATCATATTTGTTTTAGCCCTTTGCCTATGTGATTTTAGTCCTCTGCTTGTGAGATAGTTTTTTTGTGTGGGTAGAACTGAGCATTTAAGACTTTTTATGGGACAGGCAGACATATTTGTCTGCAACTGGGTAACTGCTTTAAAAGAGGGAGGTGTTCTGTTCCTCTTGTAACCTCTTAAGGAAAAAATGATTTTTGGTGACAAATCTGATCATAATTCCACTACCTCATTTAGGTTCTTTAGTAGTTACACTAAATAGCAAGCTGGCATAAATTTTGGG